AGCTCAACGAGAGTTGGTCTCCCGAAGATGCACTGGTAAAGATATGTGCAATATACTACCAGAAATTGGGTTTTGATGGCTCTTGCCGTCACTCCTCTCCCGAAGGTGACGATCAGCTCGACGTATCCCCAGGGTTTTGTACTGGCTCTATTGAAGCCATGGAGATTTGATCCGACGTACTGGGTCAGATGGCTTTCATTCAACTGCAGAGTAGAGAACAACTGGGTGTACATAATGTCTACTGAGCTTCCCTGGTCAATCAAAATGCATCACATGTCGAAATTCTCCATGCGAGGCCTTATGAGTAGTGGGATGGTCGAGTTAGGGGCCCCGCCCGGTAGTTCTTCTCTATAGAAGGCGAGAGGGTGAGAACCTTCTCGAAACTTGTCTAGCATGGCGTCCATGTCAGAATTAGCTTTGATGAGTTGGTCGAATCTTCTTTTCACAGACCCCACTGTATGCTTGTTGAATCCCCCGTCGGAGATGACCATAGCAGTGGGAGACGACTCCCAAGGGAAATGAGAGGAGAAGTATAAAGGAACGCTCTCCATGTTTGGGAGGTATAAGTCTTTTGGCCGCGAGATGCTCATGGCGATCGGTATGGCGTTAATGTCGGGGGACTCTTTCCCCTCTTCTATATTTTTGGCTTCTGGAGCCTCTTCACAGGCGGCCTCTTTTTTCTTTTATTGTTTGAGATGTCCGTCTCGAATTAGTATTTCAATTGCATCCTTGAGATGGATGCAATCCTCAGTGTTGTGCCCGTGGATTTTGTGGAACCTGTGGTATTTGCTTTCGTTGATTCCTAGTTTCGAGGGCGTTTTTCGGGGAAAGTGTACCCCGACTTGTTTGAATTCGTAATTTGCGCATTCATATATAATACATTCTCTTAAAGTAGTCAGAGGGGTGTAGTCATGGAACCGCTTGGCTGGTCCCTTGTAGTCTTTGGGGTCCCGAGATCTGTCTTCCCGTTTCTTCTCTCCTCGACGAGAAGTCGAGGGTTCATAATTTCTTGAGGTTTTGGCACTCTCTATGCCTTGATTCCTGAGCGTTATTGGCAGCTTCCTTCTCCTCGTACTGTATTTACACTTGATCCTTGAGGAGGATAAAGTCAAGCATCGCCGGTGTTTCGATGCCCACCGCTTTAGTGAAGTCGTTGTGGGGACGGAGCCCACGCTCAAGGAGATATTTCTTCATCTTGTCAGTCGCAGAGACCTGCACTGTTTCCTTGTTGAAGCTCTCGATGTATGCCTGGAGAGATTCATCCCTTCCTTGGATGATCGCTTCGAGCGAATCTTCTGATTTTGGGTGTCAACATGAGGCCGTGAAGTTTCTCGAGAACATCCTCTCAAGCTGCTTCCAGGAGGTGATGAATTCATCTAGGAGACTCTTGTACCAAGACATTGCTCCTTTCCTGAGAGTGGTCGAGAACAGTCTACATTTAATGGCTCCTCTGACCCCTCGATAGTCGAGGATGGTGTCAATGTTCTCTATATGCTCGTCGGGATCTATCATCCCGTGGTACGTCCCCAAGGGGGTGGTTTCTCCAGTCCGACGGGGAGTGGTGCCTCTGTCATTTCCCTTGACAACGCCCTGCGAGGCTCGTCGGTGTCGCTATGCACAGGAGACGAAGAAAGAGAGTGATAATTCCATCCACGTCGGATGTCGTGGTCTCGACGGGGGGAAGGACTCCTCCGTTGCTGCCTTAGCTTGGGCGATGGTGATCGACAATGGGCGGCTTGGCGGTCGCCTTTCTTTCTCTTGGATGATAGAAAGTCTTGATCTTCGGGGGAGGTGTGCAGTCGTGTTTCTTGAAGAAAGAAATGTCGTGCTTCTCTTTCGTTGGTGGAAGGCCACGCCTTGGTGGAGATATGTTGGGGGAATTATCGTCAAGTTCTCTGAGGAGAAGATTTTGACCGCTTCTGTTTCCAGACCCCCATCTTTCTGTTCTGTTGCAAGATGAAGGCGTTGGTTTGGTTGATGGCAGCAAGCAATGATGCGATGGCTGGGTCGGTGTTGTGAGGGACGGAAACTGGTTGTAGGATCTCTGGCAGTTCCTCGGTGGGGATCTTGGGATGTTGTACGTCCAAGAATTATTGATCGTCGCGCTGGGCGTCGACAGAACCTGGGGATGCAGTTCGACCGTCACGGAGGTAGAAATTATCCTCGAAGTGAGGATGTTCCTGACCTTCGTCAGTCTTGTGCACCGAGTAAAGTGAAGCCTTTCTGGATGGAAGATGATCATCACGGTCAGCCATGATTGTTGAATGGATAAGATCTTTAGTTTTTAGATTGCGAGGAATAGAAAACGGGGAAGATAGTTTCCCACAGACAACGCCACTGATCTTACCGGTTGATCAGAACCTGCAAGGTGGCCAAATGATGATATTCTGTCGGGCTGGAAAGTCGAGGAGGAGAAATGGGGTTGTACTTGCAAGACACTCCGACGATCAAGTAAGTGTGAGAGTGAAGAGATACAAGCAAAGTATTAAGGTTTTAGTGGTGAATAATGAATATTCAATACCTGACCTCACATGTGTGAGGGTATATATAGTGTCCTTGACGCGTAGCCATTGGTTCATATTTTTGGGCCTAGATATGCAGACCCATGAAAATAGGTAACTGTCAGGACTTGGTCATACCGAGCAGGTGTGCCTATAACTAGTTGTTGGTTCCGAGGAAGAGGTAAGTTACGGGCAGCGGTCTGGTCGATTCCTGGTTGTCTGAGCGACTTGATGTCGAGAAGATTGAGAGATGTTCGTTGGTCACTGTGGGTCGGTGCCGATCCAGGAGGACAAACGATCGATAACGTCCGACAAGACGAGAAAGATTCTGGTCATGGTCGCATGGACCGCGCCAAAGAGGGAGTTTAGATTAGGTCCACTCTAACTGCCGGGTCAATATATATATATATATATATATATATATATATATATATATATATATATATATATATATATATATATATATATATATATATATATATATATATATATATATATATATATATATATATTCTTACCCTCAAAAGTAAGTTTAGAAGACTTACTCCAAATTTTAATGTTTGATTTTCATTAATCTAACAACTTTAATTGTTTCCAAAAATAAATAAATTAAATGATCAATTAAAACTGTTAAATTAATGAAAATTAAGATTTTAAATTTAGAGTAACTCTTATAAACTATTTTTAGAATAAAAATATCCTTGCTTATATATATATATATATATCATGGGAAATAAAAAATAAATAGGAAATATAATATTTATAGAAAATCTCTGCATTTTTTCAAAATAAAGAATAATAGTTTTATTCAAGAATCCACATTACACATTTATGTGTTGGTGAGGTACAAATGCACAAATTGCCATAAATAACTCCTCATATTTAAAATTCAGAATATCTATCCTCCCATAATTAAAGGAACGGTCTACTAACTTAAATCAAAACCTCACATTCCGATTGTGATACTTCATTTCCATTAACTCTGTCACCCTACACGCCATTCACTTCCCTCTCACTATCTCATCAAACTCATTGTGTATCTATTCCATTCTGCATTTTTATTTTAATTTATAAAATTAATTTTAATCAAAATTAAATTAAAAATAAAATACTAAATCACTTTTTATTATTTAAAATCTAATTATCAAAATTTCACTGAATAAAAGAAGTGTCATATCTATGACATCTCTGCAACTTAAGGGAACAATTTCTGAATGAATTTTCTATGCACCTAAAAAGAAATCTATCACAAACTATTTATCACAAAAATGCCACCACTCAAAAACCACCCTTTTGTTTTTTTTCTCACCTTGGTTAGACACAAAAAGATAAGCCTATTGTGAAACAGAATCTGCCACCAAAACAACACCTCATACACAATTTTTCATACCTTAAAAAATACAATAACAAAACCCTTTTAATGCCTTCCACTGAAACTCAATCTTCACATCTTCAATATCTTCCATTCATTCTTTCCTATCATAACCTTGAATCTGTCATTTTCCATCATACGTAAACGCATATTCACCAACCACCTACCCCTTTCCACCACAAAATCTTTATTTTTCACTACTTTTTATCACTCCCACATATATATTTTACACTAAAAAAACAATTTTTTTTTATAAATTCTTTGATATTATTAATTTTGATTGGATACATGTACTTTTAATAAAATTTGAATTATTATTTTAACTTATTTTAAAATAATATAACATTAAAAATTAAATTAAAAACATTTTTTTTTAAAATAAAATAAATATAAATATTATAAAATATTTTAACGATTATATGATTTTTCAATAAGAATTTATCAGTCATGTCATACAATTACTTTACCTTAAAAATTAAGATATGATTTAACAAAATACATGACAGTGTGAAATTAATTTACAACTAAAGGTGGTAAGATAGATTCGGTCTGTTGAACATGTCAATTTTACCTGTATTTAGTGTGAGATGAGTTAAGAATTGAGACCCTCATCCTCTAATGTAAGCGTTTTGTTTCGTCCCATTTTTTTTTACGAGCTTTTATGAGTATGATTATTTGTATTTTTTTTGTATTTTTAGGTCTAAAAAGTGTATTGTCCGCATGATTTTCTCATTCACACTCATTTTTTTGTAGAACAGACCTAAGTTTTAGACCCTCATCTTCAATTATGTCTGTTCCACTCGGCTATATTTTTTATAGACTTTTACACAACAAACTTAAACGGAACAGACATACCCGTTTACCACGTGTGCATCCATATCCTATTTTCTACATGAATGTTATTTTTTTATATTATTATATATCATTATTATTTATTATTTTTAAAAAATGTGTAAATAAATATAATTAATAATATTATTTATATATTATCATCATTCATCATCCTTCACTCACACACACTTCAATGGAATCATAAAACAAAAACATATTCGTTTTCCTAAATCAAAACAGAAGAAAAACATCATTTTACTCTGTTCTTGTTCTGTTTTTTCTCTGTAACAGCATTCATGGAACGTGCTCGCAGACTCGCAAACCGTGCAACTCTGAAGCGTCTTCTCTCAGAGGCGAAACAGAATCGAAAGACTGAAACAACAACAACAACACCTGTTCCGTTTTCATTCTCTGGTTCATCTTCAAGGTACGTTTCCTCTGTTTCAAACTCTGTTCTCAGAGGCAGAGGATCCAAACCAGACAACAATGTTTCACGACGTGTTGGTGGATTTCTCGGTGTTGGTTATCCATCACAATCTCGATCCATCTCTGTTGAAGCGTTGAAACCGAGCGACACATTTCCGAGACGCCATAACTCAGCAACACCGGATGAACAAACGAAAATGGCTGAATCTGTTGGTTTCGATAACCTTGATTCACTAGTGGATGCAACAGTGCCGAAATCGATTCGCTTGAAGGAAATGAAGTTCAATAAATTTGATGGTGGATTAACAGAAGGTCAAATGATTGAACACATGAAGGATTTAGCTTCGAAGAACAAGGTTTTCAAATCTTTTATTGGTATGGGATACTATAACACTCATGTTCCGCCTGTGATTTTGAGGAACATCATGGAGAATCCTGCTTGGTATACACAGTATACGCCTTATCAAGCTGAGATATCGCAAGGCCGTCTTGAGTCTTTGTTGAATTTTCAAACCATCATTACTGATCTCACTGGTTTGCCTATGTCGAATGCTTCATTGCTTGATGAAGGTACTGCTGCTGCGGAAGCAATGTCTATGTGTAATAATATTCAAAAGGGTAAGAAGAAAACTTTCATTATTGCTAGTAATTGTCACCCGCAGACCATTGATATATGTCAGACGAGAGCAGATGGATTTGAGCTCAAGGTTGTGGTGAAAGATCTTAAGGATATTGATTACAAATCTGGTGATGTTTGTGGTGTTCTTGTTCAGTATCCTGGTACTGAAGGTGAGGTTTTGGATTATGGTGAGTTTATTAAGAAGGCTCATGCTAATGAGGTTAAGGTTGTTATGGCGAGTGATCTTTTGGCATTGACTGTGTTGAAGCCTCCGGGTGAGTTTGGAGCTGATATTGTTGTTGGTTCGGCTCAGAGATTTGGTGTTCCGATGGGTTATGGTGGTCCCCATGCTGCTTTCTTGGCTACTTCGCAAGAGTATAAGAGGATGATGCCTGGAAGAATCATCGGTGTTAGTGTTGATTCGTCTGGAAAGCAAGCTTTGAGGATGGCTATGCAAACTAGGGAGCAGCATATCCGTAGGGACAAGGCCACCAGCAACATTTGCACTGCTCAGGTAACTTATTATGCGTTGTTTTGTTTGATCAAAATTGATTCTGACTGAACTGATTTTATAAGATTGATTTTGGTTTAAGTAATTTATGTTTGAATCGCAAAAAAATTTGTGTCATATGACTGCGACTTTTAATAAATTTCAGAATTGATTATATGTTAATTAAGAAGCTAGAAATCTTAGCTTTTAAGTAGAATAGATTTTGGCTGAGGATTTTATTTGATTCTGGTTGGTTTTGTTTAGGCACTGCTTGCAAACATGGCTGCTATGTATGCTGTATATCATGGACCTGAAGGCCTTAAAGCCATTGCACAAAGGGTTCATGGCCTTGCTGGGGTGTTTGCTCTTGGATTAAAGAAACTCGGGTTTGAAGTTCAGGATCTTGGCTTCTTCGACACTGTGAAGGTTAAGACTTCAAATGCCAAAGCAATTTCAGATGCTGCTATCAAAAGTGAAATCAATTTGCGCGTTGTAGATGGAAACACTGTAAGTCTTGCATTGATGTCTGTACCAAATGCAGTTTGACTATATTTACATGTCTTTGAATTGTGACTGAGTTTGTTTGCTTTTCAGATCACTGCTGCTTTTGATGAAACAACCACATTAGAGGATGTTGATAAGCTTTTCAAAGTTTTTGCTGGGGGCAAGCCTGTAAGTTTTAATCATATAGCCATTTTGTATTTGTTTTCACAATTATCATGATATCATTACTGCATCTAAATTTTTATTTGTCTACAGGTCTCATTCACAGCGGCTTCTCTTGCACCTGAATTTCAAAATGCAATTCCTTCTGGATTAGTTAGGGAGAGTCCCTATTTGACACACGCTATCTTTAACACGTATATCCCTTTTCTCAAAAATTTCGATTTTATGTTGTTGAATTTCGTAAGCATTCTACAATTTTATTTCATTTGATTTTTCCTTTGTAGGTACCAAACTGAGCATGAGTTACTGAGGTACATTCAAAGGCTACAATCAAAAGATCTTTCACTTTGCCACAGTATGATCCCACTTGGATCTTGTACAATGAAGCTGAATGCAACAACTGAAATGATGCCGGTGACATGGCCTAGCTTTACCGATTTGCACCCTTTCGCACCAACTGAACAGGCTCAAGGATATCAGGTACTCACTCCGTCTCATAGTAACTGTCTTTTAAGGTAATGTGCAAGAAAGATATTCTGATATATGTAATAATGCCTTAAAATATAGTATAGTTCTGTGTTTTCTGTGTCTAAACAAGCCAATTTGATTCCAGGAAATGTTCGCCAACTTAGGTGACCTGTTGTGTACCATCACTGGATTTGACTCCTTCTCTTTGCAACCAAATGCCGGTGCTGCTGGAGAATATGCCGGACTCATGGTTATTCGTGCATATCATTTGGTATGGTAGCTCGTGGACAATTATGAATAACTTTGTTTAACTTTTATAAATAATTTTCAATATGCATCTATTGTTCTTCTTATTAGTTTTAATTCATATATACCGTCTGTGTAAAGATGTTTTACAATGTCAAATCAATTAGACACAATCATCAGACATATGATTGGTTATGATATGTTGATAGTGTAAAACATTTCACATTGACAGTGTATCAAAATTAAACTCCTTATGATTCACTTGTAGGATATTAAAGATTTTCGTTTGTTCTGATTTTACATAATATTTTTCATTTCATCCAAATTTTTTTTACCTCAATTGTGTTGTTTTCCCTTGCTACTTATCTAGAAGAAATGCAATGATCTTCCTACATTACTAACTTTGATTAAATTTTATAAATTTTTGTTAAGTTTCTTACTTCTTTTGGCTATGTGTAATTGTAGTCAAGAGGGGACCACCACCGCAACGTTTGCATTATACCAGCATCAGCACATGGTACAAATCCTGCTAGTGCTGCTATGGTTGGAATGAAAATTGTTACCATAGGAACTGATGCTAAGGGAAACATTAACATTGAAGAGTTGAAGAAAGCTGCTGAAAAACATAAGGACAACTTATCTGCATTTATGGTACAAATGTCTTCTTATAGAATCTTACATATAATATTGGTGGTACACTATGTGGCATTGAGTGTGTCAGCATCTATCATTGACACATCTGGTTATATTCAATCACTTTCATTTTTTTTAAATTAATACTGGTTTCTACGTGTCAATATCATGTTCGGTGTTTATGGTACACCCGTAAATTAAAAGTGTTCTCAAACTTGGACTTTTGTTTGTATTAATTTGATCTTTATTTAAATTGTAGGTAACATATCCTTCAACTCATGGTGTTTATGAAGAAGGTATCGATGATATTTGCAAGATTATCCATGATAATGGTGGCCAAGTGTACATGGATGGTGCCAACATGAATGCACAGGTTTGTTTTTCTATGCACACCTTTAAGTTAATGTACTTTGTATTAGGCCAAGAGTCTCGGAAGTATAGTTCTTACTTACTTCTTTGGGTAGATATCAGCTCAGGATGATATTAGGAGCCAAACCCAGGCATTCATGATCGATTCGACTTTAACTGTTCATTGACCATTTGGTTCATTTTCTTCCAAAACTTGACAGTACAAAGCTGGTTACTTGGTTCATGTTTACAGGTAGGACTTACAAGCCCAGGTTGGATTGGAGCCGATGTTTGCCATCTCAATCTCCATAAGACATTTTGCATTCCTCACGGAGGAGGAGGCCCTGGCATGGGTCCTATTGGTGTAAAGAAACACTTGGCACCATTTTTACCCTCACACCCCGTGGTAAGTACTTTTTTCCAATCATGGGTGATTTAGTGCGTTGACTCCTGCGATGCAAAGGTGGCACTCGTTGGTTATCAAGCCATGCTCGGCGCACAAAATAGCACAAAAAAAGTGAAGAAAGAACATTGATTAGTTTTCCTTATATTTATATCATCTCTTACCATAATGAAGGTGCCAACCGGTGGAATTCCTGCACCTGAGAATCCTCAACCACTTGGTAGTATCGCAGCTGCACCTTGGGGATCAGCGCTCATATTGCCAATCTCTTACACATACATAGCCATGATGGGATCTCAAGGACTCACTGATGCGTCAAAGATAGCCATTTTGAATGCAAACTATATGGCGAAGCGATTGGAGGTTTAAGCTTTGTCATAAATTACATTTGTTTTTTTTTCTTGTTAGTTTCATACATGATGAACCTTGGTCTTATACTTATACTTTGACTTCTATAGAGTTATTACCCAGTTCTTTTTCGCGGAGTCAATGGAACAGTTGCTCATGAGTTCATTATTGACTTGAGAGGATTTAAGGTTAGACCACTTGATGATTGAAATTGTTTTTCAAGTAGTCATTATAATTATTCAAGCTGTGATTAATTGTAAGGTATTTCCTTTGTAGAATACTGCTGGAATAGAGCCTGAAGATGTTGCGAAACGTCTCATGGACTATGGATTTCATGGACCAACAATGTCATGGCCTGTGGCTGGTACACTCATGATTGAGCCTACTGAAAGTGAAAGCAAGGTATGTTATATATGGAAGTGAAAGAATTATCATTGCTTGTGCCTCTTTTGCTTTGCAATTTCTCGTGTAACCTCTTATCTGATTCAACTAAACATTATTGCAGGCTGAGTTAGACAGGTATTGTGATGCTCTTATTTCCATTAGAAAAGAAATTGCTGAGATTGAGAAAGGAAATGCTGATGTTCACAACAATGTTCTCAAGGTAAAGAATTTCTTCTCTTAGCCAATATTTGAATCCCGATTCAATTTCTCTAACTCTTAGATCAGACAAGTTTGATTATTAATAGTATACAATATAAATAATTTTCCGCATTTTTTGTTAACAAGTTCAACTTATTTCATGAACTTATGAGTGATTATCTAAAATGTTGTGCAGGGAGCCCCTCATCCACCATCACTGCTCATGGCTGATGCATGGACCAAACCATACTCCAGGGAGTATGCTGCCTACCCTGCTGCATGGCTCCGTGGTGCAAAGTTTTGGCCTACCACAGGTATCAACTAATCAATCATGTTGTTTAACTAATTAATGTTTCCTGTTAAGAGTCTCATGTCGGATAATATATGGTCTGAACATGTGTTTATAAGTGGAGGAATCCTCATGTTATAAGTCGGTTTTGTAAAGTTGAGTTAGGCTCAACCGCCATTCTTAAGATAATATCAGAGTCCCGTTTAAGATCTGTTGGGCCACCTGCTACCAGGTTTCCACTATTTGGCAACTCCATTTATGTTCACGCTCCAAATGTTCAGTCCTGGGTGTGATGGGTGTATTAAGAGTCTCACATCGGACAATATATGACCTGAACCACAATTCTTAAGATTTTCTTTGACATTCTTCTCACAGTTAACCTTCCTATCACCCCTTGTATGACAAATGCATATACTAATAATTATTAATATGGTTTTGTGTATCAGGACGTGTTGATAATGTGTACGGTGACCGCAACCTGGTTTGCACCCTTCTCCCAGCATCACAGGCTGTTGAAGAACAAGCTGCTGCAACTGCATAATAGTGTTATTCCTTTGTTACTTATATTTTAATTTCCAGTTGTACATAAACTCTTCCTATTCATCATACAGTCACAGTCACTGCAGCTGCTATTGACATTTGCTTCCTCCTTGATAATGATCATCTACTTCTCTTATTAAGTTTCATATCATGAAACTGTTTCATCCAACCATAACTCATCCTTCTCCTCAGCCTAAAAGTTATTCCTATGAAAGCAAGATGAAATTTATTCCTTTTATGCAGAAAAGAAAAAAGAAGCTAAAAAGTATATCTTATATTGCTGCTACTATTTGGATTTTAGGAATGTATCTTATGCCTACATGTCACAGAAATGTGAAACATCTAAAACAATAAAAAAAATCTTAGCAATTGTTTCTTTTCAGAAATATTGTACTTGATCATTATACTAAATTGATGTTTTAAGAATCTCTACTTGTTATTTTCTTACTCCAACAACACCTTTGGGGAAAAAATTGCATAAAAATCCTCGTAAGAGCTTAATTTGAAAGATAACTCGTGAACAATACTTTGAATCTTTTATAGGATTTGTGAAAAACGCATAGAATAAAGTTTTTAAAATTATTTCTATTGAATATGATTTCGAGGTAACGAATGGTATGCATGCAAGCATTAAAAAATTGTTTTGAAATAAGAGACTACACAATTTGGTATATGTCAAATATAATCAAGCTTTATTTCAAAGATACATATAGTGATGAAATTGACCAAATTTCACTTGGTGACATAGAAGACTCGTGTAATAAGTGGCTGGTTATGATGATGGATGATGATGAAGTTGGGAATGAAAGGGTCGTTGAGGACAAGAATGATGAGGATGCCCTTAATTGGAAGTTGTTTATAGAGCTTCAAGAGTTGGAGAGACTACAAAATATGCTAGGCAAGCAACTAAAAAGATAAAAGTAACTCACAACCCTGGTGTTGTTGATACTTCATCTAAAACAAAGAAGAAGTTGATTGGTGGTTCTTCATATAGGAAGAGAAAACAATATGTGATTGAAGTGCAAGATCCTATCATTGTAGAATAAGAAGTAGACTTTAACTACAGTGATTTAGATGATTCAATTGAAGAAGTTGAAAGATATGCCTCACTATATGAAAATGAGGATAATTATTTTGTCGGAGAAGGGGAAAATGAGACTAGTTAGATATTTTATCACTAGTGTACATCCCAGATATTTTACATATTCCGAATTTGTCATTGAAGTAAATTAGGAGTGTACATCCAAGAATTTTGATACGCCTCGTCAAGGTGCATCTTTCGGCCCTGCCCAAAAATAAAGGTTGCGTGCATGCCATCACTACATTCCAAATCATGTCCTTAGACCGAGTTGGATCCAATAGCCGGTATGAGCTTCCCATTTATGATTATGTTTGTTACATGATCCAAGAAGTCACCCCGTCAGTTACAACATCTTACATAAAGTAAGGAAAAGTTACGTTTATAAAGAGTTTTGACGTTACAAAGATGTTCAATGGTTATTAGACCAATTAAACTAAGGTTATGTTATAAAAGGGAAGCAAGGACCACACACGTGGGGAACAACTCAAAAAGGAATAAAAATAGGGAGATCAGAAAGCATCCCAACAATGGCTATCACTCCTTGTATTCTTTAAGAAAACACCTCAAATACCCCTTAAACACGGTATTGTTGTGGTTCTGCCTGGTTCACACCGGAGAGATTATCCAACTTGACAGGAATAACTAGTTAGACTTAAAAGAACTACTAATTATTAGTTTGAACTACTTAACTTTTTGAGTTTTAATTCATTTTAAATTTTTGTTTTTAGCTTTCTGTTTTAACTGTTGGAACTTAAAATTTTTAGTTTAATGTCGGAACTTTTGTTTTAATATATATATTTATGTAGCTTTTATTTGTGTGTGACATATTTTATATTTTATATAAATATTTATTTTAACTGTTTTGTGTCTTTTTCTATTTTCCCACTATGCGATCCGATATTTCTCATGTCGATTTTTGGGGATCCACTATTTTTCGCTATTGATATTTGACAACACTAATGAAAATAGGCTGGGTCAAACTGAGCTTTACTTAAATAGATCATATCTAATTAAAAAAATTAAATCCTAAATATGATATATTATCTATCAAAAACTTTATTTTGATATTGACCTGCCTTTTTTAAAAGCATAGTTGTCTTATTAGTATGTTTAAAAACCTATTTTATAAAATCTTCACATCCAATTTTTTAAAGATAATAATTTTTTTTAGAGCATATCCATATGTCCCCTACTATTTTTTAACATACTTAATGTATAAATAAATATGGATTATACACAACATAAATTAATAAAACTTAATCTTCAAGTTTGCAAACTTTGTCAACTTTCTTTCAATCTTCAAATATATGTGCATACTTATAATGTGTCTCTCTTTCCTTATAACCTTTGAAGATATTCTTAAACTTTGAATCACTTTATTGTTTGATATGTGACTTCATACATAAGAAATGGTGAATTGTGGAGATTTGGAAAATATTGATTTAAAATAAAATCATTTATAAAATCAGAGTTTAAAACATTTTGTAAGACAATTGAGTGAATATGTAATGAAAATTCAAAGTAAAAAAAATATTTAAAATTAAAGAGATAAAGAAATAGAAATAACACTGGAAAATTATCCAGGTTTAGACAAGAAGATCTAATATTGTCCCAAGAATTAAATTTGAGAGTATCTATTATGCTTGAGAGCTTTTAGAAGGTTATGCGCATAAACCCCCTTATACAAGGGAAATGAAGTTTCATATTAACTTATAACCAAACAAGGAACAAGACTTGAAGTGGATAGTCTCCAAATCAAATAGAGATTTTGCACATAATGATCTCGAACCAAATATAGAGTTTTGAGTTGGCTATCCTCCTAACCAAACCAGAATTTTATACAGGCTAACCACGAATCGAAATAAGATTTTTTACCTATCTAATCTCGAACCTACTGAGTTTTTACACCAGGCTAAACTCATAAATCAAGTAGAATTTTACATAGGATGATCTCAAACCGATAGAGCTTTTAACTGGGTCGAGTTCAAAAATTGTTATGGATACTTTTTACTGGTTGAACTTAACTAACTAAAAGAGAGTTTTTTAATCTAATAGAGAAACTTATGAATCAAGCCGAAACTTCTTATAGACATTCCTCTAATACAATCAATGGCTTTTAAAGGGTTTAGCTCCCAACTAAAATAACAATTTTCTAAGGAGGAATTATTTACACAATAGAAAATTCACTCTAGGTAAATTTAGGCAAAATACTCATTTTGGTCCCTTAACTATAGGTCATAGTTCACTTTGATCCCTTATCTTTTTTTGTGTGCCAAATTGGTCCTTTAATTTTTTTAAAGATTCAAACAAGTCCATTCCGTCAATTGGCCTTCAACGTCCGTTTATTTTCATGACATGGTAGGTGAGCTGACAGATTTCACCATCTTCTTTATATGTAGTATGCGTTCTTCACCTTGCTGCAAAATCTCCTTCCCAAAATTTTCTTTATGTTCTTCATCTTTGTACCCACTATCTTCTTACATTCCCAACACTCCCAAAAAAACCCATAATAGTTTCGTCCCTTTCTCCATGAATACGAAACATTCATCTTCCCCAACGAACCTAAAGAAATTTGAAAGTGTTGGGTCATGTGTATACAGTAGCTCGCAAATTGGACCACTTTATCATTGTGGAGACAACACTATTCTTTGTAGGACAACCACTGAGAAGAATTATGGAAAGAAATTTTGGGGTTGTCACAATTACAAGGTCAGTCCTAATTTTGGTTTGGGTATGTTAGAAGATGGTAAACAGAGTTTGATAAATTTTGAAATTTGCAGGGATCCTTGCAAAGAGGATGTGGCTTCTTTGATTGGTTTCACGAGCAAGTGGCAGAAGATATAAACCAAGTATTGATTAATAGATTGGAAAGCATAGCAAAGGATTTAGATGAAACCAAGAACCAGTACAAAAAAATTGAGGGTTAGAAATGAAAAATCAGGGGATGTTGTGTTAGAACTTCAAATTCAACTAAACAAGATGTTGAAGTGGAAAAAAACATTGAAGATTATGTGTTTTGTAATGTTATATGTATTTGTCATTAAGCTGTATTAGGAGTAGGAGTAGGTAGCGACTTTGTGTGTAATTTTATCAGTTTATCGGTTTAGGAAATTTATGTGCAAGCTTATGTGTAATTTTAACACATGTGCACATATCAGTTTAGGAAATTTACGTGCAAGCTTATGTGTAATTTTAACACATGTTTTCAGTTTAATAAGATTTATTTTGTTTGGCATATCATTAATCAAAGCATATTGCATATCATTAATTGTAGCAACATAATTTTGGGCATTACTAGTAAATGAACACATAAGATTACTTAAACTGAAAATACAAAGTTGGCATGTTACATAGATATGTTCCAAAATACATAGACATGCTCTTAAAGGTTGACAGAATGACATATTACATGTAACACCCCAATTCAACCCGACAATTATTATACAAATCAGAGTTATAGAAATTCAACAACCAAATCAGGATGCTACAAATTCAACTTAAAACAACGACATTCATCACAGATACATACCACTTTAAACTCGGATGAACCAACAACAACATAAATTAATCTTTTAAACCAACAACTTTCATAACTAAGCGGAGTCAAATATTCAACTTAAAAGAATATATCATCTTTGTCCAACTGAAACAACTTCAATTAACAAGTATTTAATGAATAACAACTTAAAGTTCAATCAACTGAAATAATAACAATAATAAAACATCAAGCGTTCATCCCCCGAGTGTTACGTATCAGAGCAATGACACCGACGCTAACTACTGAAGGTAAACCGCCTTCACTCTGGACTACCTGCACGTTACCAACATATGAGTAACATTCGAACAGAAGGGGTGAGATATCGAACATTATAATAGAACGTATGATAAATAATACATTAGGAAAAATTCATACAAAATCA